GAAGAAGAAGAAGGAGAAGTCTGAAGAGAAGAAGAAGAAGAAGAAGAAGAAGAAGACGTAGGAGCCGAGGAGGAGAGAGAGAGAGGGGACTGGCGAGGGGAGGGAGGAGAGAGGCCTCCGACTCCCGATACCTCAGGCGGCTATGGCCGCCGGTGCACTCAGTCGCCGCTGCTGCTGCTCGCTCGCTACTGCTGCGCTAATGCTGCGCTGCCTGCTCCTCGCTGCTCATGCGCTAAAGATAGCGCCAGCGCTGATTAGCGCTGTACCATACCGTACCGGTAGAATGCCGGTAGGTCGATCCTAGATTGAGGCTGGACCGGTTCTATATACCGGTGGGGCAGAGGCCGGCCTCAATGCTGCGAGGCCTGGCCATGCCCTGAACCGTCCAGATGGACGGTTCAGCCCCAACCGGCAGGCGGCAGCCTCAAGAGCGCCATACCGGTGGGGCAGAGGCCGGCCTCAATGCTGCGAGGCCTGGCCATGCCCTGAACCGTCCAGATGGACGGTTCAGCCCCAACCGGCGGGCGGCAGCCTCAAGAGCGCCGCCAGGCCCAAACGGTAATGTCGTTTGGGCCTGCCCGTCGGGTCTGGTCCAAGGTGAGGCCTTTATGGCCTGTAGTACCCCCAAGGTCGGGCCTTTAGGCCCTGATGTGTCTCTCTAGCCCTAAGTCGGGTCGGGTAGGACCCGTGTGGCGTCGAAGATGTAACACCTTCTGTGTAACCTATCTCTAAGTACCCTTGTGTATTCTAAACAGCTACGAGTGCAAGAAGAGGATATCAACCAATCAATCACTATGGTTGTCGATGGAGGGGCTGATACTATCGGCACCTATGTCGGTATAAACGATATCCTACCGGGGTGAAGGCATTGATTGCTTCCCTAACTCAGGGAAGGATTAACCTCCCAGCCTCCTACAATACGGTGGATCAAGCATTGTGAACGTACTCAGGAGAACAACACAATCGATATCAGTCACCAGTGATCTGACCACAATAGGCAGATGATGTAAGTCGTAACATTACAGATGCAAAAGTATGATGGCAGCCTTTCAGTGTATAAGCGGAAAAAGTATGATGGCAGCCTTTCAGTGTATAAGTGGAAAAACTATCCTAACAATAAGCGAGTCAACTAATATTACCGCATATTGGGTAAATGCACCACGAATCCTCATCAACCGGCCCATTACCTCCCCTACTCCTGCCCCAGCCTCTATCCTACCCCCATCCGAGGCAAAACCAAGACGAAGCACTCACCCGTCACCACTATCCTTCCTCGCCATTGCATGTTCAATGTAATAGCACAACAATACAGTTCCCTTACCCTTTCATCTATTCCTTCGCTATCCCACAGTGGGGAGGGAATCCTTAGCACCCCCACTTCTTCACATTTCTTTGCACCTACGGCTTAGCACGGTAATCTTCTTGCCTATCAATCAACCATTTCCCAGATCTGGCGCTTTGTTTCTAGGTCTGAGTATGGACGTTTCTGAAAATTATTATTATTATTTTTTTTTTTTCATTTTTTTTTTATTATTTTTTTTAAAGCCCAGGGTGTCGTAGAGACCAAGGACCTGACCCGCGGTGATTGCTGGTAGCGGCCGCCAATGGTTGTCCTGAAAGGATAGGCGACCTACCCTACCCATCTGAAATCTTGACCTGTTCCTGTCTTCCCAGATAGTCTCGCAAATCAGGCCTCTCACCACGTGTGCTATCACTGCTATGTATCCCCATCCCCTGGGGACAAAAGACACACACAGACACCTTCCCCCACAAACACACGCACATGCAAA